ATTAAGTTAAAAAAAATAAAAAACAACATTGTCTATAAGCAAAAAATTAAAAACAACATAATTAAATAATATAACAACTTTGCAACAAATACTCAAAAATGATAAACAGCATACTACAAAAACAAACTGATTCAATAGTACTTAACAATATTATACATTTTAGCAAGTCACAATTGAACTACAAAATTAAAAAAGAAATTAAAAAAAATTTTGAAGAATAAATGAAAAGCAATCCTACAAATAACAACTACTAGAAAGAATAATAAAAATAATATCTACTATATAAGAGAATAAATAAGTTATGATATAATATAATATCAGACCCTATAGCATTATAAGAACTTCAAATTAATTTACAAAAATTACTAAACAAAAAGACCTCTGAATTATAACAAATATTTAATAAAATGTTAAAGCACTTAGATAGCTATAGGTTAATTTATTATTAAAAATCTTCAATGCTTATACTTAATATAATTCCCAAAATATAGAAGCAAAGCAATATTTACTTAATATCTAAAAAGCAAAAATTTTCTAAAAAACTTAATAAAACATATTTAATTATCTTAATTACACATATATAAAAAATCTTTACTAAAACAATAACAAAAAGATTAAACATAATATTTAACAAATATTCAATTTTACATTCTAGCAACCATATTGCAATCTCTAATATATTAACACAAATACTAATTATTACATTAGCATATATCTTAGAAGACACACAAATTTAGAACAAAGAACTATAGTTACTTAGTCAAGATATATTCAAGACATACAATGCAATCCATATTCCATTACTTAAAAAAGCCCTAGAAAGAATAAATATATCAGAAGCTACAACAAACCTGATTATAAACATTTTTACTAATAGATCTAACTACATAATAACAAATTTCAGGCTTACAGAATTATATAAAGTTAAAGACAAAATAAGCTAAAATAAAACAATAGCACTACTTCTGTAGCATATTTATTATAATCTACTGCTTACAACTATATACAATAATACAAAAGGCTACTTATTTAATACAATATATAATAAGCAATATAAAACAAAAAATCTGCAAACAAATTTATTAGCATTAGTCTACATGAATAATACTATATAGATAGCTCAATCCAAACAAGAACTACAATCAATTTTCAAAACTACAAGTTCATTCTTTTCACTTACAAATATAAAAGTAAATTTAAATAAATCTGTACTTACAATAACCAATTTAACAACTAGCAATCCAAACATAATATATAATAACACAACAATAAAGACAATGCAGCTAAAGGAAGCTTTTTGCTTTTTTAGATGTTGGTACACTACTAATAATAATTACAAACCAATTTACAGAATTATCAAAAAAGAAGCTAACAATGCATAAGAAGAATCAAAAATGCAAATATAACAGAAAAACAGGCTATATACATTATTAATACCATTATATTAACACAAATTGTATATAAAATTTAAATCATATGTTTGCTTATACAACTATATAAAGTGATCATAAACTATTATATAGCAATAGTAAAGCATAAAGCTGATCTTACACAAAGCTGATCTTACACAAACAGTACCTAACTTAATACTATTGTATCATCAGATTTATGAATTATGAACTGTTGCAAATATTCAAACATAGCAGTATATCTTACTTATATATTGATAGCTCAATTATATCAAATTCTCAAATCTAATACTAAAAATATACATCTAACAAATTCAAAACACTACCTATAGCAACAAGTTAATACTAACCAACAGTACATATATATTACTACAAAAAGAATCAAAAGCTTCATTAACAAAAATGCTATATAGCATACAGAAAACAGAAATAGTCTTTCTAAATAACAATAACAATTGGCCAAAACTAGCAGAACACAAAGGCACACTAATAGATATGATATTTTAGCAAATAAACAAACTACATCTAGTCAAGCCAAATTTAACAAAATTAGATTGCATTCTATTAAACAATATACTAATTATAAAAATACAAACATATTAATATAAATACAAATACTATATACAATATTACATATACTTAGAGAAAGAAAATTTAAATAGTACAAACTTATAATAAAAAATATAAAACAAAACTTAAGCAACAATAACTACAACTTTATTACTTCAAATCTATTTATTTTTAATTTATATCAAACACTTAAAAAGGCATTATAAGCAATAAAAAAGAATATACTAGATAGTTATATAGAACAAATATTATTTATAAAAAACAACTAAGCAACAATTAATTACTAGATTATAGACAGTATATATACCAAGCTAAAGCTATATACAGAATGCTAATAAAATAATACTAATCTCAAAAAAGAAAAATACACAAGCAAATTCAAACTATATAATCTTCAAAAAATATTGATAAATAATAAAAAATCCTTAAGAGCAAATATATAAAACTTAGAACAAACAGCATATGATTTAACTAGAATAACACAAAACCAAAGCAATGTTTGAAAAAAATATAAGCTAACAGAAAAAACAATAAAAAACTCAGAAACAGCTAGCTATCTACAAAAGCTTCAACAAAAATACAAACAACACAAAGATATTACCTTTTAACTAATTTAAAACAAATAATTAATAATATACAACAAGATATAATAATATATGATATTTTATTATTAAAACTGCAGTTCAAAACAGCACTATTAGGATAACTTACAACAACTAAAACACTTATTACAATTTTAATATTCAGTTCAATAATAATACTAAATAAAACAAGAATTTAAATTATTATAAAAAAAATTTGTAATACAAAACTAAGCAAAATAGGTTATACAACTATAACAAATGATATATATCAAATACATTACTTAAACAACTAGCCAAGTTGGCTAACATAAAAAGCATTAATTGCAAGAAAAGATCTAAGCTACATATTTATAATAAATAACTCTATAATATATACTACAAACACAGACTCTCCTACTATAAGAATAGGCATAAGTCACAAAAATATACATCATGGCATCTTATATACTATTTGGCAAAATACATCTATTGAATATAATATTAGAAAATTTATTTATCATACTTATAATGCATATCACATAGCATACTGGTAATTACAGATACAAGCTCAAATATAGGACACTATTTACAAAGATATAGACTAGAAATCTTTTTATAACTACTTAAATTATTAATGTTCATTAATACAAAGACAAACAAATCTAAAATATTTATAACTAAAAGCATTCAAACTAAAACTACTATTAGAAGAACTGTTAACATTAAAAGTATTATTTAAATATAATAAAAAAAATACCCTAACTCAATATGCTCAAGATGCCAAGCAACAACAAAAAGTAACTACTATTTGATAACATATAATAGCAATAATATGAGTTTACAGAAAATAATAACAAAAACAATTAACAAAATTCTGATCAAATATAAAGTAATAGATAACAAAACAAGACATTAAATTATAACTTTAATAACTCAAAGCATCTATCTAATTAATTCACAAACAAAACTAATAAGCGTTATACTGGAAATGTTTTCCCAAAACAATACAAGACTTATTAACAAAATAGCAAAAATATCAAAACCAAAACACAGTTTATTGATTTACTTAATATACAAAATTATACAAAAAATATATGAAGAAATATGAATACAACCATCTATCAAAACCAAATACTTCATAAACAGTAACTAATAACAAAGACATAACAATAGTCTCAATAGTAATAGCAAACATACACAATATAGAATTAACTGAATCAAAAATAGAAACTAAACTTGAAATATGAAGAAAAATGTTTATAAATCATAATATCTCACTGAATTATATCAATATAATTATAAACTAAGTAGAGACTTTGACCCTCTTTAGCAAAATCTGGATCATAAGTAAAGTAACCTAAACCTTAACTTTCAGAGATTAAATAATATGTACTACAGATAAAAATGTATTTAGAATTAATAATCAATAAAGGAATCGAGGCAAGACCTCACTTTTAAATAAAAAAAAAAACAAATTAATGCATTAAAATCTATTTACTTAGTAGAAACATCTGTTTTAGACGTATTACGGTTACTTTATATTATTTTATCCAAATAACAATATCTCGTGATATATCGATCATCATTCGATTCGTCTCTGTGAGACGAATCGAATAGTACCAAAATCGTTTATTTTAACCACAAGATCGCGAGATATCGCAAGATTTCTGTAGTGTGACGATTCAGGACTATGCAATAAATTTTTCTTATTTTTTTTAATTAATTTTTAGCTAAAAGTATCTCGTGATCTAATGATCAGAATTAACGATTTTGGTACCATTCGATTCGTCTTGATGAGACGAATCGAATGGTAACAAAATCATTTAATTCTATTTGATATATCACGTGATATCCATTGTGTAATATTTAACTGCGCCAAATATGGCATATCTACCTTAAAATATTTATATTATTATCAAATTATTGCAGACTCGCAGAAAATCATCGTCCCTGGACTACTCATAAGCAATTATGTAATATGGGCCAAAATTTTGCTGTGCAATTTTATAAAATACCGTAACTCGAAATTTTGTCTATGAAACTGCCTTCTGCGTATTAACAAAATGTTTTCCTTACAAAATTTTGGTATAACTATAACATCTAAACCTAACCTACTTGTAATGCCCAACCCTAACCTAATAACGAAATGTTTTTTCTTAACGAAGTTTTTTTCTTAAGTTTGCTACAATTTTGCGGCATCCTGCGCAGTCTGCAGCATTATCGTTATGCGCAGTAATAATGCACAGACTGCGCAATGGCGGTTTAACGGAAGAACCGAAATTTAATATATAAATTTATAAGAATAAATAAATAAGCCATAACGGTTTTTTTTTTTCCAGTCCAGATTTCCGTTATATAGATAGCGATAGTTGACGGTACTTCTACAACCTACGACATATTATAATACCCACTACTTATACATCAATATTACAAAAGTTGCAACTTTGTTACTTTCAAAATGTCTGCACCTCGAGGTGGATCTCGTTTTAATCGCGGTAGAAAAAAACGCTCTAACAGGGGTGGTCATCAGCCAATATCAAGCGACAATCAAAAAGATGTAGGTCATAGCAGAAATGTTAGTGACATTAATGAATTGCGACAAGATAACTATCGACACGATAACACGAACAATAAATCAAAGTATGTCTCTGATCCCAAAGGCAAGGGATTAGCAGTTCCCAGAGATTCTTCAACTTTATCAAATCACGATTCAGGAAATTCTCGAACTTCCATACGTTCAAAGAAATCCTCCGCTTCTAAGTTTTCTCTTGATGAAATTAAGGATGTGTCAACCTCGATAACTTATGGCTTAACTACATCCACCTATGAATGTATGATTTGCTGTGAAGTTATACGACCCAGTCATAAGACATGGTCTTGTGGAGTTTGTTGGGCAGTATTTCATTTGCAGTGTACACAAAAGTGGGCTCAAAAGTCCTTCGATAATGCGGGTTCATGGCGCTGTCCTGGTTGTCAAAACAAATCTGAAAGTATTCCTGAGATGTACAAGTGCTTCTGTGGTACGCAATGGTTAATAAATATGTATGATGCAAAATTGTATCAATCAATATGCTCGCTGTATTATTCTAATATAATGTAAATAACGATAATTTTATATAGGTAAAGTAGAAAACCCTCAATTTACGCGTTATTTAACTCCTCACAGTTGTGGTAATGTTTGTAGAAAAAGTAGAGATTGTTCACATGATTGTACTCGGTAAGTACTTGTATTTAAGCTTATGACAATCAAATTTGCGAATTGAATATAATTTATCAATTTAAAATCAAAACAGGCCGTGCCACCCGGGGCCATGCCCTCCTTGTTCGGCCATGGGGCCTATTCAACACTGTTTTTGTGGTCGCCAGACGTATCAACTTCGTTGTATCGAAGTCGATCATTCAGGTGGTAAATCGTGCGAATCAGTTTGTGGGAATTTATTGGGATGTGACAAACATTATTGTAAAAAGAAATGTCATCCAGGAGATTGTACGCGATGCGAAGTAATCGAGATACAAAATTGTTACTGTGGACAGACAGAACGAGAGGCAACATGTGGTGAAGGGATGGCTATCCGTTGTTATGGTGGAGAATCCAGAAAATCATTTCAGGTTTGGACTGGATTCTTCTCATGCAAAGAAAGGTGTAATCGCTTGTTAGAATGCGGTCATCATTCGTGCACGAAACCATGTCATCCGGTGATGGATGAACCTGAGCCTTGCGAATTAAGTCCTTCACGTGTTCATAACTGTCCTTGTGGTGCAAATACTATAGAGTCACTTCTTGGTCATAAGCGAACGTCTTGCATTGAAGAAGTTCCACTTTGTAATAACATTTGTTCGAAAACACTTCCATGTGGTCATAAATGTCAAGATACATGTCATCATGGGAATTGTAAACCTTGTACAACTGTCGTACAAGCCAAGTGCCGATGTGGCAGTAAAACGTTTGAACGTGTCTGTTCTGAGGTTTCGGATAGCCACGAAGAGTTAATATGTGATAGAATATGCAGAGGCCTTAGAACCTGTGGCAAACATCAATGTAGTGTACGTTGTTGTCCATCAGCTAACAAGAAATCATCAAAAAGTAGAAGTAGTACTTCACAAGAAGTAGAATATGATGTTAATCATCAATGTGTTTTAGTATGTGGGAAGAGCTTACAATGTGGGAAGGTAAGACATACATATATGTATATGTGTGGTTTATCTATTTGCCAATGCGTTAATTAACTTTTCAAATCACAATAAATAGCACACATGTCAACAATTATGCCATAAGGGGCATTGTAAACCTTGCTATGGTTAGTGATTTTTTAGTTTTCATAGACGATAAGAATTATAGATTTTTTTATGATATTCTAACATTGATCTCGTCTAACAGAGGCATCATTTGAAGAATTAATATGTCATTGCGGACGTACATCTCGGTATGTTATTGCATATTTGATTGTCTTGTATATCATATATTACCATTTATTATTGCCTGAATACAGCTAACAATTTATTATAGTGATCCTCCGATTCGATGTGGAACTAAAATTCAATGCCCTTATTCTTGTGTAAGGGTGAGTATCATATAATTCCAACTAATTTTTAATGTTTTTTCTTAAGTATCTAAATTGAATTTTATTTCAAAGGTGCCACTTTGTGGTCATCCAAGTGTTTCACATGGGTGTCATGGGGATGAAGAATCATGTCCTCCATGTGCGTTCTTGGTTAGCAAAAAATGCATATGTGGTAAATCCGTAGTTAATAATATTTCTTGTCACAAGTCTAATGTCAGCTGTGGACAAGTTTGCGGTTTGCTATTGCCTTGTGGCGGACATCATTGCAAACGTGTGTGCCATTCTGGAGATTGTCTCATAGAACGGCAATGTAATCAGACGTGTGGAAAGCCTAAAGCTTGTGGTAAACATTGCTATCATTTACAAAGTTATTAATCTTATATATATAATGTTTAACGCAATATATATTACTAGGTCATCCTTGTTCCACAACATGTCATGCGCCAGCATCATGCCCTGATATTGCTTGTCAATCCAAAATGGTGATTAGTTGTAAATGTGGATATTTGTCTAAAGAGGTCATCTGCAATGCAACTAAGGAAACGGTAGAAGAAGTTAAATGTCGTAAATTAGAATGCAATAATGTTTGTGCTATGGCTGAAAGAAACCGAAAGTTGGCTAGCGCATTAGAGCTATCTGAGAGAATTGTTGATGGGTAGATCTCAATGTTAACATTTTTATGTGTATTATTTCATTATCAATTATTAATTGCATATCGTGATCTTTAATATTATATTCAGGCCGTTTGCCAAAAGTGCCCCTGAGTATGAGGAAGAGCTGCTTAAGTACTTTGGCACTAATAAAGAATGGGCTAAAAATATTGAATCCACACTGGGAGACTTCATTTTGAAGTCAGAGTAAGTGGTTAATACACTACAAAGCTAATGAATACCTTTTCCCATCTCTCTTATCATATATTAAGAATTTATTTTTGGTTGTTTATTTTATTAGTAAATCCACACTGAACCTGACACCCATGAAAGCATCACATCGTGGATTTATTCATGGACTCAGTGCACACTATTCTTTAAAGTCAGAAAGTGTTGACGTTGAACCCTTTAGAAGTGTTATCATTAAGAAAAAGGCTGATTCTGCAATGTGAGTGATTCATGAATTATTTCGATTAAAATATGGTATTAAATACCATGCATATTAACTATATAATATTTATATACAATAGCCCATTGGTGCTTCTATCTCAGGCTTTTGCTAATCATGGAAAAATAAACACACATTCGTTAGCTACACCAACTAAGGGTGTAAATCGATTTTAAAATTATAATTGATGATCCAATTCCTAAAATCAATTTAGAATCGAAGATTGAATATTACCAGAAATAGAACATATCCTTCTGGTTGCTGTAATTATTGTTCAAATGAGATATCTCAATTTTATATGTAAAATTTGTAATAAAACACTTTAATTTTATATATTAAAAAAAAATTAATTTTAAATAAATATTGACATTTTTTGTTAAAGTTACACAAAATTAAACACTAAATAGTTTTAAGGTCTTGATTTAATTTTTTTAGATTTTTCAAGTCAAAGCAATTATTTAAAATAATTAAAAATATTCATAAGCATAGTTGGTGGTAGAATTCATTTTGCAAATTAATATGGTTACAGCATGTGCCATATTATTTGCCGTAATTATCTTGAGCCATAATGCCGTAATACCGCAATTCCAAATAGGCCAGCTAAGGTTAGGCTTGATATTTCGGCTCATGTTGATTGTATAGATCCATACCCCAGCATGGGTTGTAAATGGTAAGTTACCATTGGTAAATTGCTTGAAAAGTTATGGTAAGTTTAGGGATGGATCAGTCCTGAAAAGACTGGTCTTCATGAGTAATTAAATAGCTAATTAAAAGGTATTTTACATAGTCTTTTATTTTCAATTACCGACGTTATATGATTTGATTTCTCCACTAGCCAATAAGATGTTTAGAGGTTTAAATAATTAAGGACGCTATCGCTATTGGGATCGAGACTGGACTGATAGACCGGCTGGGTCCAGATCACAAAATCTATTGTAAAATGCCAGAGATTTCCGTTTCGTCATGACTTTTCATCAGTCGGAAAATTTCCGAATATGATATCATAATACGTATGTATATAAATATCAATATTTTTATTAAAAAACTGCTACATCCGGCTGAGTTTTTTAAGTTCCGGTTAAAATAATTACTGCCGGAGAAAAAGCAGCTTCCGGCATTCGGAAATTTTGTACCCTGGCTGGGACCGTAAAAATTAGGTTTAAAAAAATTCGATAACACAAAATTTAGGCGAAATTGTTATGTTAAAATATACATTGTAAACATTTTTAATAATTCAATACTTAAATTTTGCAGGTCGTTTTATTTACTGCATTCTTGACCAAATATAAAAACGATTAGGAATCAAATCGTATTAAGTCACATAAATTTATGCGTTATCAATATCCAATACAAACTAGCCATATACTGTACGTCTTAGAAGTTAATTAAAAAATAAAATATGTATCACTAGGAACAGGCAAATCGAAGACTTTTTGAATCTACTGCGCAGTCTGCACAGGCTCACATTATGGTAGTTTGTTGATAATGCGGGTCAGAGTTGTGAACTTTTTGAAATTCCAAATATTCCGCGTCCTATCTATACATATCACAAACTAATGTAATATAAATTTTTTAAATTTAATAATTTTAGATATATTCATAAGACTTGACACCTAGATTAAGAAAAAGATTCCCTTTTTTATTTGAAAATTAAGATGATTTTAAGGAACATGTCAGATTACTATGTATGGACTATTCCTTTATCAGACTATTTAATGATTATATTATTTCTCAAAAATGATTACCTATAGATCTAACAAACTTAAAAATGTTCAACTTTATATTTCTATTACAGAGCATAGAAGAAGTGAATGTTTTTATCAAGTGTATTTCATAAATCTACAATATTTTATTATCATTGTTACAAGCTTATTGTAACTTTAATTATATAGATCTTTCAGATCTGCTTAAAGATATCAATTTAATCACTTTGATTAATCTAACTTTACTAATATCAATCTTTAAAGAGTTAAGTATAGCAGTTAAAGTATTATAAGAATTTTATTATTTTTACATTATATTTTAGTCTTGAATCCAGATAGAAAGAAAAGAAAAACAACTAGAAATTAGATCATTCTTGTTCAAATTATTATCAACAGTAGAACAATTCCATTTGGTTCTTAAACAAAATCAAATTACAAATATATATATTTTAGTACAAAAACATCATAATATTTAATTAGTTATAGAAACTCTCAGAAAAACTTTGCTTATCACTCATTATCAGAATACATTTTTGATCTTATAGACTTATTTAAACTATTCTTTGAAATTTTTGATTTATCAAAACAAATAATAACTATATATATACAAATGTCAAATATAGAAGATAATGACAATATGGATTATTAATGAACACAGGTCATCATATAAATAATTTGATTTTAGCAGATAACAAGAATAAAACAAAAAAAATTAAACTAAATTTAAATAAAAAAATCTACATAATTAGAGGTATGGTGACCTAGTGAAATGATCAGATTGTTAATTCTCCAAGTGGTAGGTTGGATGTTCAAATTCCATTAATGATGAAAATTTGAATAATCATCTATGTAATATTCATATTATAGCAACTATTACTAATGATTAGATTAGGATACCTATAATGGCAATCATACTAGTATGACTGGCAGATTATGGGGCATCTGTGTATGGTGTTACACAAAGAAATGCAAACTGACAAATTAAGTGATGTAAACACTAGATAAGTCTTTGTGGTTATGTAAATCTGTTAAAATTAGATAACAAGAAGTCTATTTGGAAAGATCCAAGTAGAGAGATAGCTAGATCTTTGATAGCCCTATTATAAAAACTAGTTCAGAAAAACAAATACCAAGGTCATAGTACCTAGTCATAATAGCCAAACAGACAAGAACTTCTGGGTTAGGAGTCTCAGAGATACTACCAACCAGGCCATTAAAATGAATCAGAGGAAAAAGATATCAGGCTAATCTGATATACTGATAAACTGGTCATAGTTTTATATAGACTATCTGAATTGGGAGTTTGGTAAAAAGGCAGATGAAAAGACAAGGGTATACTAAAGTACTGGGATTATGCTATAAAATAGATGCTGGGATTTAAGTAAACTCTACAAAGATATAGAAGTTTAATGGTTAGCCCTAATTACAAGTATTGGTTCTGTCATAGTGATGTTTAGATCAGCTATAAAAATAGGTACAGAAAGCTCTGGAGAATTTATCTTAAAGATAAATTAGTTCTAAGATTAATACAATGATCTGGACATCTGGGTATAACTTAATAAGTTAACACAGATTACAGATTCAAAAGGTTTAAAATAGAACACTCAAGCAGAAGTATTAGATATAGCAATTGGTAAAAAACTTTTGGGTGAACTCTTTAAATAGATAATATAGAAAGTTACATATGTAACCAATTGTACTCTTATCTGTAATGGTTTATTGAATCACAATACTAATAAGTGATTAATAAAAGTCAAAAGACCAAAGAGGTCATCTTAATACCAAAAAAAAAAAAATCTATATAATTTTTTTTTTCTTTTTTTCACTTAAGCAGTCATGGTAATACTTTATTAAACCATTTGTAACTACATATATAAATATAGAATATCATTTAATTTATAAGTTTACTATTATTCAACTACCCAAATGGTACCTAAATGTGATCTGTCATACTAATCCAGTTAGGACTAGAAATTATGACTCATCTAACCCCTGTCCTATAATAAGATACTGCCAATCTGAAGACATCTTCTTGTAAAGAAGAGAAAAACAAAAAAAAAGAAAATAATTTTAAAGTTACTAAAGGAAAGAATGAAAATAGAAAGTAAAGTAAAATTAAATAAAAAGAAAATGAAACTAATCTATAAGAAGAATAAAGAAGGAAACCTGCTAATAGGATAAAACTCTATTCTACAATTACTGCTTACTACAATGTTTTCATATTTTTATGGACTATGACTATTCTCTAGAAACTAGTTACTCTTAATCAGAATAAAAATTGTATTTACTTGTAGAATGAAGTTCGAACTAGGCACTTTTTATATAGGAAAAATCTTCAAATAGGTGGGATACTATGCCAAGGTTTGGAATGCACTTAAGTGATCCAATTCTTTATAAATTCTTGTAACTCTTTTTTTAAAAATATTATGTACATGGCCTCAGAATATATGCATATCTCAATATATTTTTTGTTTTTTTGAATTAAATCCTTTTCTGATCTGTTTCACATAATTGGCTGACTCACATATTTGTTATGTCCCTTATTCACTATATCCAAACAAGCATGTAATCATAAAAGAAAGTGATGCACAATGTCAATCTTTTGATGAGAGTGAGCCAAATTCTCACTTTTCAAAAAAAAAAAAATCAAAAAAAAGATAAAGAGAAGGTATATTGTTGCAAGAATCCAAGTTAAGAAGAGTTTTTCTAATTGTTCTTCTTTTTCTTTTGCTTCTAATATTCTTAATCAGAGAACTGATTTTGTCTTTACTTGCTTTCAGAATATCCTTTCAGTTTGGATGCTGAATATGTAAGAGAGTCCACCAGGCAAAAAGCTTGACACAAGACAAGAACTATTTAAGTTTTGTCTACTTCTTGGTATATCATGTACTTGAGCTTTGTTAATAGCAAGTTTAGTTAATATAAAACTAAGAATATTATTTACTTTGGAGCCAGAGTTTTCAATCTACTTTTAGTGCCAACTTGGTTCAGGTGATTATCAGAAAAAGTATAGATTTGAAATCTATATAATTATATATAACATTAGAAATATCAATAATATACTAAAAATACAAAACTGAATTGAACATTGTATAAAATCAGATTTATATATAATCTCTATTATTGAAACTAAACTAAATAACTCAGTAAAAAATTTTATACTAATCCTTTCTACAAAATATACATATCTAACTTTTTATTATATAACTTGAATTAAAGAGAGACTAGTTTGAGAACAGTTTATTAGTTTGCAACCAATTACAGTTCTATATTCATAATATTAACATTCTACTTGGCATTACAATTTGTATTAATTTCTTTTTTCCAAACAAAAACAAGTCTTACATTATTTTAGCATATCTTTCTTCAAATTATTTTTTATTTCTAATACAAACACAATTTCAAATTTATTTTTGGATTACTGAGACTAGATCTTGAAATTGGTATTTGATTATTATGAGTGACTTCAATGC